GGGTTGTGGGCTCCATCCCCAGTGTGGGGCGTGCAGGAGGCAGCCGGTCCGTGATTCTCTCTCATTGCTGATGTATCTCTCTCTCCCTCTCCTTTCTTCTCTAACATCAATAAAAATATATATTGAAAAAAAAAAAAAAAAAAAAAAAAAGATGAGCCAACACTCGGAATGAATTTGCCAGACTGCCTGCCCGGCGGAGACCTCGCTGGCAGCCGGCTGCTGCGGGAGAAGGAGCCACAGCCACAGGGAGTCCGAGTCCGGGACTTTACATTAAACGGGAGGAGGCGCAAACACCCAGCCACACCCGCTGGGACGTGCAGGTGGGGGCCACTGACTCCCTGGCTGCCCAGTCTCTGCTCCTACGACATCCAGCCTTTCTCCCCATCCACCCCGGAGGCACCTCCAGGCCGTGACCCCCCAGGGGGCGCACTATCCCCCTCCCTCCCTCTGGCTCCCTCTCTCAGAAGGCCCGTCTCCCTCCGCGGGCGACGGATCAGGCTCAGACTTAAGGGGAAAAGGCAGCGGCCGAGGCCTGAGAGGAAAAGGGCCAGGAGAGGGCAATCCACACACCAGCGGCCCATCTACTCAGAGCCGCCCGAGTCAATATTGGACGCCGGATGGCGAGCGGGTGTGTTTCTGGGCAATTCCTCTGGTTGATCATTCTGTCCACACCCCATTCTTGGAGCTCGTTACCGCTGCTGGAAAGACGGGGCCTCAGGTGCAAAGTCAACACGCCTCACCAGGACACGGCTCACGAGGACACGCCTCCCAGGACACACCTCCTAAGGACAAGGCCCCCGAGGACACGCCTCACCAGGACTCGGCCACATTTCCCCACCACGTGAGTGACGTCTGCGCTGGGACCTGGCTTGTCGTGCTGAGTACCAAGCAGCATGTGTTGACATGTGTTCATAAACATGAACACGGATTCTGGCCACAATGTCCTGACAGAACGGCAGTGCCTTCGCCTTGAGATGCCGAGGCTGGGAAGCCCCCCCCCCCCCCCCCCCGCTCCCTTGGCAAGCTCCGTCCTCTAAGCATCTCACCATGCACCATCCAGAGGGCAATCTGGAGGGGTAACTATGACACGGAGCTGTCCTCCCCAGTCGAGTGTAAGAGAGCCAGTCAGCGGGGGCCCACGCGGACAGTTCAGAGGGCGCGGGAGGATAAACTCATCCCATCCATCACCGCAGCCCATCGATCCTGGCAAAATCGGCGACGCCAGTTTTACACTTCAACGTGTACTTTCTGAAAAGTTAACTGAGAGGCATGTCCCCCACCAACATTCCTGATGCGTGACTAACACATTAAGACATCCGTGTTAGGATGGAAGGAACGGATAAAACTCTAGGTGACTATCCAATCGAGATGATGTTGTCATCAGTGATAAAAACATTAGCAAAGCTCTGGGATTTTTACAGAGTGACCTTGATAGCCACACCCTGTCACAAGGGAGGTCATGGCTGTGAGCACATCACAGCCATACGGGGCCCAGCCTGGCCAGTGTGGCTCAGCAGCTGAGCGTCAACCCATGAACCAGGTCACCAGTTTGATTGCCGGTCAGGGCATATGCCCAGGTTGTGGGCTCCATCCCGTGTGGGGCGTGCAGGAGGCAGCCAATCAATGACTCATCATTGATGGTTCCATCTCGCTCTTCCTCTCCCTTCCTCTCTGAAATAAATAAAATATATATTTTAATATCGAGTCCTGCGCTCACAGCGGTCATTCTCTCCTGACCGCCCATAGAATGGAAAGCTCAAACCCTAGTCCACCGGGCACGGCCAACAGCTCACACACACTGGGCATTTGATGGGGGAGGGACGGGAAGAACGCACAGTCACTAAGGGGGTGACTGTTACTGCCCACGCTTACCCGACCCAGGAATGCTGAGCCCAGGCAGAGAACTGAAGGCTCACGGAAGACCCAGATGCAAGGAACGGTAAGACACACGACGGGACGGACGGACACACAGGGGGGCCCTTAATCTTGAGGACCAGACGGTGGCAACGTGTGAAGTCAGCCGGTCCCTGGTCCAAGCAAGAGCTGGAAGCCACGGGCAACCTCTCTGAGCGAGACACACGCTGAAACCAGCACCTTCACGGACACCTCCAGCCTGGAGGGAAAGCACCTCACTTTCTCACCAACATAGAACCCCCGCCTCTCTGACCCACCGGCGCCTCCAACAACCAGTTCTTAAATGTTTCCCATGACTTTTTAAGGAGCATTAATATGGACTAGGCACACACACACACACGCACACACACACGCCTGCCAACGGAACATCCCCCATGGGGGGGATGGGGGGATTGGTAACCCGTGTCCCACAGTGCTGGCAAAGGAAGGTCGCGGTTCATGTGGGCAGGCAGGCGGGCGGGCGGGCTGCCTCCTCCGGGGACACACATCTGATGGGTCAGCCGAGACTTTAGATCAGGTGACCCACAGGTTGAGAACCGCTGTCAGGGCTGCCTAAGACCATCGGAAAACACAGATATTCACATTACGATTCATTAACAGTAGCAAAATCACAGTTATGAAGTAGCGATGAAGATAATCTTATGGTTGGGGGTCACCACAGCATGAAGAGCTGTGTTGGCAGGTCGCGGCATCAGGAGGGTGGAGAACCAGGCCCTAGAGGACCAGGATCGGAGGGAGAGGCAGGAGGCGGGGGCACGAAGGGAGGGAAGGCGACAGAACAAATGAGCAGGCACAGTGTGAGTTCTGCCAAGTTCTTTACTTCGGATCGGAGAGGGAACAGCCCCATGCTGTCCGCTGCAGACACAGATTCACGAGTACAGTGCTGGTCATCCGAGGACACCCACACGCCTCACGTTCTCCGTCATGCTTTTTTTTTTTTTTCTTTTTCTTTTAGAAAGATACCGTTTACCAAAAAGAAACTTCAGCAGTACAGGAAAAACGAATTTCCCAATAAGTGTACGAAAACCTAAGATTCCCAATGGAATCAGATTATCTTCCCGCTGTCCACCCGGAGCACCGCCACACGCTGGTGGACGCTCACTTCCGACGAGGGCGACGCTCGGAGAAGCCGGGGCGGCCGGCGGCGCGGGTTCCACAGGTACCGGGGGTCCGTGGTGGGCAGCTGACGCCGGATCCCGTTTCGCTGTATAAATAATTGTTCCCTTAGCAGCAAACGTACGTCTACACGTTCGCAACAGTCCTAGGAAATAAATACTGTGATTATGCGCACAACACGTTAGGACGAGACTAGCTCCCAAGAACAAAAAGAAGCTCGACACTTGATACAAAAAACCCTGATCAGAATCAGATGGGCACCTCCAGGTTTAACACATCGTCAGAGGAACAGCACGTTGGAAACTGTCCATGTTCACACAGGAAGGGGGGTTTGCAGGGGGGAGAGGGCGGCTCTCCAGTTCCAGAACACGTCTTCCGGTTGTGAATGAATGAAAATAACCAACATGTTGGAAATGGTTGGTTTCAGGGATGACGTCGGTTTTGGTCTTACTTTCCCGTTATTTTCTTTATAGAGAGTTGCACCACGTGTCCATTCGTGGTCTGACTGGTCTTCAGTATCTCATACTCGAATACAGAAAAGAAATTCCTAAAAACCGACAGTTCTTCACATGCGTGTACATACGTATACATAAAAGGATCTCATCTCGGAAATGGCCGTCATGGACAGAGCCACACAAGGATGCTAGACAGCAGTGCTCCCACCTGCAGACAGTGATTTCAGAAACCCACGTACATTCATGGGGTCACAGTAAATATTCCACATGTGACGAGCGACAGAACATACATCTTGTTTGCACTCAAAGCTGATCACAACTGAGATTGACATGTGATTGAAACAGGCCGATGTTTGAACTCGTTTTAATTCGGTGACAATTCCATGGGGGAAGGAGGAGGAGGAGGAAGCCTGGGATGACAGAAGGATTTGGTCTTCGTAAGGCCCGTCACCAAAGACCGTTTCGCTGGGAGAGATGGACAAACCGAGAGCGTGAAGTGGATGTAAGAAAATAGCTTCTGTGATTGGGATTTGATTAAAGCTGCTTACAGGTAGGTGTTCTCTCCCACGGGAGCGCGGATTTTTAAAAAGAGATGACAGACGGGCAGGCAAAGCGCCCGGGTGAGCAGAGTCCGCACCCAGGGCTCGCGAGGCGGGAACGGGACAGACGTGTGGCCTCACAAGTTAAAAAAAAAAAAAAAAAAACCCGCAGAGGAAACAAACACGGGATCTCGTACCTGCCCACCGCCCCAACAACAGCACGACCGGCAGCGGGGGCTGGCTGGTGTCGGAGCGGTCAGTTCAGTGTGCACACAGGAGCACAGAGTACGGATATATATATATTCGTTTGTACAAAATAAAATCAATGTCATTTGCCACCATACACCTTTGCTCGAGGGAGGGGGCGTGCCTGCAGCGGCTGGTCCCTGGGGGGACCCCCACAGGGCAGAGAATCAAACCCAAGAGCCAGTCACGTCCCCACGCATGAATGTTAGGGTGACAATTCAGATTATTTTGCAAACTAATCCTGAGAAAAACCTGTTTACAATTTAAACAGTCATGTTCTGTAAAAAGTATTAACAAATCCACTATTACAAATAGCCATTTCCTATGTGGTCGTCTATATATACACACAATAAAATGGTAAATATATGCAAAAATACTTTAAAAACACATGCACAGACCCCTTCCCCGGGAATCTGGGCTTCCTATGAGACCTGCCCTCCGACAGCCCCTCCCGCACTGCCCCGCTCCCGCACTCTGCACAAAGCGGCGAGGAAGATCCACGTTCCACCAGGCTCTGACTCGGAACGGCCTGCGGTGGCCGAGGCCTTCTCAGGCGAGCAGCCCCCCGTTTGGGTGCTGCTTGCTTTTGCCGCCGTCAGTCTTTGTGATCCGTTCCGTGGCGAGCGGGAATCAGCACGTGGACGGCGCCGGGCTCCGGACCGGACCCTGGAGGCTCCTGACGGGGCCCCGGGAGGTCACTGCACGCAGCAGACGGCCGTGGCCACGCCGACTACCTACAGAGGTCGGCGAGGGGGGCGTCCCTCTTGTGCTTCCTCCGCTTGCCGCGGAAACACGGGTTAGTGGGTTTGCCGGGGTGCGGCTTGCCGGCCGCCAGGCCGCCGTGGCCGCCGGGAGCGGTACCTTGGAAGCCTCTGCTGGCAGAGCGGAAGAGCCGGGCGGGTCCGTGCTGCGGGAGGAAGCGGAGAGGTCAGTACGGGAGGCGCCACGCTCGACCACCCGAGCTCACGGCCAGGCCGTGCGGCTCAGCTGGCGCTGCCCCTGAGCTGTGGGGCCGGGCTCTGTCCCTGGGAATGCCGAGTGCAGACCCCTGGCGCCCCAGAGCAGGTAGGGCACACTCCTCCCCAGGGCCTCCAGACAAGACGCCACAGGAAGTGGCCCCGCAGCCGCCCGCCTGCCGGCACCTGCCACGCTCACTGCCCCTCGGGGTGATGGGGGCCGGGCATGAGGCTGTACCGGGAAGGACCTGCAGGTCAGCGGAGGCAGCGTGATGGACACGCCCTTCGTGGGAGGTGGGATGGCCTCAGGCCGGGCCAGGAGCAAATGGCTCCTTCCCCGATGCAGGGCCTGGGGTGACACAGCTCCACGCCACATAGCACATAGCACACGCTAACACAGGAGCCTGAACCTTTGCAAGCAAAAGTGGACGCCAAGCCACCAAGCTGGCCAGCTGCTGCCTGACCGTTCACCCGGCCCTGCCTCGGCCACCGAGAGCCGCACCTGCGTCAGCATCGCCCCACGACCGGACGGACGCCCAGGGGCCCGTGTCCAGGGGCCCAGGCCCTGTCACTAGACACCCGTCGTGCAGTCACTCTTAGAACCAAACACGTGTGCTCTTTAACCTGAGTCTCTGCAAGCCCACATTGAACACGTGTAACCGACATGGAAGAAGCTGGACGTACCCCGCACTGACTGCTCACTATGACGCACACATGTAACTGACATTTAAGGAACAATGACATGCACGCATGTATGACTGACATGTGAGGAATGACATGCCTGCACTGGCTGCTCGCAGAGACGCGCTCACGCACCTGGGACTTGCTGGCGCTGCTGGGCGTGGCGGGGGCCGGGGCGCCCTGCGCCTTCCCTCCCGCCGGCGCGGGCTCCGCAGCCACCTCTTGCGCCCCCACGCGGCTCCCGGCGGGCGGACGGCACAGCAGCTGCTTCGGCGTCTTGCATGGCGTCGCGTCCGAGTCCTGACAAGCAGACGGGTGACAACGGGGCACATTAACCCTCCGTCCCGTTACAGGGACCTGTTCCGGCTGAGCCCCGGACCGACGAAGTGGGACTGAGGACGCACAGAGGGAATGGATGGGGCGAGCGGTTACGTTCCTCCGCTCCTTCTCCCGAGGGTTTCCAGCCGTCCTCCTCCCGCACACCTGCCTCCTCCCGCCGCCGCCGCCGAGTCACCTCGCTCCCGCCCGTTTTAAGGCGACGGCGCCGCCATTACTTCCCAGCACCAGGCCGGGAGTGAGCCGCCGGCCCGCACTCACCACGTCACTGGAGCTGGACTGCGTGGCGGACGAGGAGGACACGGGGCCGGACGAGGAGTTGGACGAGTGCTTGCTGAGCGGCTCGGCCGCCTTGCTCCTGCTCTTGCCCAGGGCGTCGTGCTCGCCAGGCGGGCCCCGGGCACTCGTCTCCAGCGGCGGGGGCCCCACCACCAGGGTGACCCCGTGTCCTGGCAGGGCGGAGAGCGGAGTGCGTTCCTTCCCCAGTCCCGCGTCGCCGTGGCGACAGCGCGAGGCTCCGGCGTGGGACTCACCGTTGCACGCGGGCTCGGGCCCGCTCTGCCGGCCCCACTGCTTGGAGATCCAGTCCCGGTACGTGGCGACCTCGTCCGTCACCCTGATGATCCTGCCCAGGATGCTGCGGGGAGAGGAGCGGTGAGCCTGAGGCGGACCCACACGCCCCGCCCGCCCGCCCGCCCGCCCGCCGAGGACTGGGGCGCTACCTCTCGGTCTCGCTGTTGGGGTAGTGCTTGGCGATGGGCGACACGGCATGGCTCAGCACCACGTAGGCGTAGTCGAAGGCCTGCTTCACCTGCATGGCCCCGTACGAGCTGCGCCCAACGTCGTTGCCTGCGGAGAGGGGCGGTCAGGGGGCGGTCGGGGCCCGGAGCTGCCCTGGGACCGGCAGCGACCCCAACTCCAGGCTCCACGTGGACATCCCGGCTGAGCAGTCAGATCGGTGCTCAGCCAACACGGCCTGGCCCTCCGGGCACCCCCAGGCCGTCCTGCCAACAAGGACGCCCGCTTCCCGAGCGCCCCGGCCAAACGCTCCGTCTCTCTGCCGTGTGCACGGCACCCACAGGCTGGAGTCCGGCGCCCTATGTAGAGCCGGTCCCTAACCGCCCTCGATGAGGGCCCACGGGACCAGCCCGTCACACGTCACACACAGGCCGCGGCCTCGCTGCCCTCGGGCTGCCCCTCGTCACACGGCACGGCCACCGAGGCCGACGGTGCGGACTGTGCTTCCCTCCCCAGGAGGCACCGCCTCCAGGGGCCTCGGGGACGGAGGCGGCGGGAGAGGAGGAGGCCGGAGCGGGTAAAGGACAAATGCTGACGAAGGAGACTGCCCGGGAGCGGTGCCAGGACAGTGACGGGCGGCACAGCTCACCCCTGCGGCCCTACGGCTCCTCGCCCGTCGCCCCGCCAGCCAAGCTGGAAACAAAGCCGGCGGGCAGCAGGCGAACGGGGTGAGGCCCGAGAACGGAGACACAGACCACCCCCACTCGTCCAGGGTCTGCGGCGGGTTCTCTGGGGGGGGGCTGTCCGTGTGTGTGTGTGTGTGTGTGTGTGTGTGTCTGTGTGTCTCTCTCTGTGTCTGTGTGTGTGTCCGTGTCCGTGTGTGTGTGTCTCTCTCTGTGTCTGTGTGTGTCCGTGTGTGTGTTTCTGTGTGTCTGTGTTTCTGTGTGTCCGTGTGTGTGTTTCTGTGTGTCTGTGTGTTTCTGTGTGTCCATGTGTCTGTTTCTGTGTGTCTGTGTATGTGTCTGTGTGTTTGTGTTCGTGTATGTGTGTTTCTGTGTGTCTATGTGTGTGTATCCGTGTTTCTGTGTGCCTCTGTGTTGCTGTGTGTCTGTGTTTCTGTGTGTCTGTGTTTCTGTGTGTCCATGTGTGTGTTTCTGAATGTCTCTGTGTGTTTCTGTGTGTGTGTGTGTGTGTTTCTGAGTGTCTCTGTGTGTTTCTGTGTGTGTTTCTGTGTGTCTGTGTGTGTTTCTGTGTGTGTTTCTGTGTGTTCGTGTGTGTTTCTGTGTGTCTGTCTCTCTGTGTGTCTCTGTATGTGTGTCTGTGTATGTGTCCGTGTATGTCCGTGTGTGTTCCTGGTGTCTCTGTGTGTTTCTCTGTGTGTGTGTGTGTGTGTGTGTTTCTGGGTGTCTCTATGTGTTTCTGTGTGTGTGTTTCTGTGTGTATGTGTGTATGTTTTTCTGTGTGTGTCTCTGTGTGTTTCTCTGTGTGTGTCCATGTGTGTTTCTGTGTGTCTCTCTGTGTGTCTGTGTATGTGTCTGTGTGTGTTTCTGTGTGTGTGTGTGTCCATGTGTTTCTGTGTGTCTGTGTATGTGTCCATGTGTGTCCGTGTATGTTCCTGGTGTCTCTGTGTGTTTCTGTGTGTCTCTGTGTGTTTCTGTGTGTGTGTGTGTGTTCTCGTGTGTTCTCCCCGGTGTGTGCGGACGTCCACATATTTGCTCGTGAACCATGTGATGAGGAGGGTGCCACCTTAGAAGCTGGTCCTGGTCGGCCGGTGGAAGTGTGGCGGCCGCCTGCCCGCCCTCCGCCCGCCCGCCTGCCGCCGGCCGCCCACCTGGCTGCAGCGGGTCCTCGATGTAGAGCATCGACGGCCTGCAGCCCTCCAGCAGGCTCCTCTGAGCTTCGTCTTTGGCCACATATGAGCCGCCATCCTTTATCCGGATGCCGGTCTTTAAATAATTGAAGTGCCGTCCATATAATTCAAAAAACTCTATTAAGAGAACACCATAGTTTGTATTGGGGATGCAAGCATCTTCCCTGGGATGCAACTACAACCAGAAGGAGAAGAAGAGAAGTTACGTTGCACGTCCTCCGACTGCCCGGGGACACACACGACATCGGACGCCCCCCGCACTGCCCGCCTCCGGCCCCGCCTCCCGGCCAGCTGGCCCCGGGCGGCCGGCTGACCATGTACCCGCTCAGGGCCCCCCTCGTCCACGGGGCACACAGATTAGTGGCTCAGAGGACGTGGCGGTGTGCTATTTCCACGGCTGGTCACCGCTACGGAACCCACGCCCTCCTTAACACCGCCGTGAAAAATCAACAACAGAACACGGGGACCAAGAGCAAAGCCACCCTCTTTCCGGGGATGAGAAATTCTGGCCAATCGCAGGAAGGGGACGCGTTTGGGGCGCCCTCACCTGCAGGAAGCTGACGGCCATGAGGAAGAGGCTGTAGGAGCCGATGCCCCCGGTGAAGACCTCGTTGAGGTCCCGCTGCAGGAGGAACTGTTTCAGCACCAGGACCAGGTACGGCAGCACCGGGTACTTCTGGAAGGAGGGCGCCGAGTGTGAGCGGGCCTTCCACTGCCAGCGGGAGCCCGCCCCTCGCCCGGCCGGCCCATGAGCTGACCTTGGTGAAGTCCTTGATGAGGTCGGCCGCCCGCACGCCGTTCTGCACGTTGAAGCTAATGTCCACCTTCACCTCCGTGAAGGAGTCGGTGAGCTTGATGATGGGCACCTGGGGGAGAGGGCAGTGAACGCTCCGCCGGACGGGCAGGGTCGGCCCGGGTGAGGGCGTGCGGCCCCACCCCCTCGGGACATATGAGCAGGAGGCCCCGAGGCCTGCGCACACCCCCCTCCGCCAGCCCGCCTTCCGGAACGGCCCTCCTCCACCAGCCCGCCTTCCGGAACGGCCCTCCTCTGGGGGAGGTCTGACCCCGGAGGCAGAAACCCGACGCCACGCTGACGGCCGAGCAGTCAGGGGGCACCCGAGGCCGAGGCACACTCGCCACCCCTGCGGCCATCAGCGCTGCCAGGAGCCCAAACACATGCTGGCTGGTGTGGCTCAGTGGATAGAGCGTTGGCCTGGGACTGAGGAGTCCCGGGTTCGATTCCGGTAAAGGGCATGTATCTTGGTTGCGGGCACATCCCCAGGAAGGGGTGTGCAGGAGGCAGCTGATGGATGTTTCTCTCTTATCGATGTTTCTGACTCTCTATCTCCCTCTCTTCCTCTCTGTAAAAAATCAATAAAATGCATATTTTAAAAAAAGGAGCCCAAACACAACCCAGCAAGAGGAGACAAAATGCAAGAATCATCCCAAATAAAAAGGGACAATGATTTCGAGAAGACGTTTGGGATTCTTAAAGAACAAAAAATCCTGTGGGCACCACACGTGAGAAAACGTGGGCGGCACACCGGGCCCCGGCTGCCCACCGACAGGCTGCCGGCCGCCCAGGCCACCGTGCCCTGGAGCACATTGCGTGCAGACCCGCTGTCTAGAAACTCAGCTCGGGGCTCCCACATGAGCGCCCCGGCGGCCGTGGCCGGACTCACAGAATGCAGACGCGGCCTGTGCCACGGCGCAGACTCGCCTGGAGCGGAGCGGCCCGGCGGGCCCCGAGGGCCCGGCCGACACCGGGGAGCCTGTGCTCCATGGACGGAGCCCCAGGCCCTCCCTCATGACCAGGAGCCCACCCGCGTCCCACACGGTGCCCGTGATGGAGAGAAGGCCGGCCTGGAAGGCTGGCGCGGGCGGCGGGGGCGGCAGAGGGACTCACGGTGGCTTTGTCCAGGACCTTCACCGAGTCCTCGTCGGCGACCTTGTGCTTGCGGAGCGCCTCCTCCAGCGTCCAGAGCGGCAGGTTCTCCCACTTGCCAAACACCACCAGGTCGATGTCGCTGCGCAGAGCAGAGGCTGAGCGGCCGCCCCTCCCCCGGCCCTGCACGGCGGCCACGTTCCAGGCCCTCCCTGTGCCTTTCAGACCTGAGCGGTGTCACTGCTCTACCCCTGAGCTCACTACACTGTGAGGAAGGGCGAGGGCCCCAGCCCCCACAGAGACATGGTCAGGAGGGGGCCCACGGGGGGAAGGGGAGTGGTCACCCACCCCTTCAGCGGCCGAGGGTGGGGCATGTGCACCTGAGCCCTTGGGTCAGGGTGCGGAACTCGGGGTCACGGTGCAGCTCCTAGTAACACGGCCCCCGTACCCGCAGGTGCTTCACCCAGAGGCCCCGGGCGTGTGAGTGGTTAGGGGACGGGCGGAGGTCTGGGGGGCCAGCGACAGCCCGTTGCTGTGCTGTGGGCAGGCGACCAGAACCTGCCCCGCGGCCCGGAAGGAGCTGCTGACCGCTGGCAGGAGTGACAACGACCCCAGGGACCCAGGAGCCCGGCATGTGGGTATCTGTTCCATCACCCACTTTCTTTCCACGCTTCCCGTTCGCAGGCAGAACAGACACAGCCCAGGACGGGCCCAGTCCCGGAGCGCCGTGTGCTCACCTGGTGGGTAAATACAGGCCGGTTTTGAAACTCCCAAATATCTGCACCTGAAACAGAAACGACTGCATCACCGAGAGCCCCAGCCAGGAGGAAGGCTGGTGTCTGCTGCCCTCTCCTGGCGCCTCTGAGCACTGCAGCCCGCTCTTCCCAGATAGGCACTCACACTCGGTTCAAGGACCAAGGCAGAGCTCAGCTGGAACAGAAACTTTCAGCAGGGACATGTCCGTCACATGTGTTCCCGTCACATGTGCTCCCGAAAGCCACCGACCCTGAACACTGGTCCCTGCCCCCCAACCCTGGTCCCTGCCCTCAACGCTGACCCCTGCCCCGTAACATTGGAGGAAGCGTTGCTGCAGGAGGACAGGAGCTCAGGTCAGGGTTGTGACCTCAGCGTCCTGACATGTGGAGGTCATTCTCGGTTGTGGGGGGCTGCCCCGTGCACTGTGGGGTGCTGAGCAGCACTCTGGCCTGCGCCCACTGTCTGCCAGGAGCACTCACCAGTCATGAGCATGAAAACTGTCTCCACCCATAATGCCAAATGCCTTTTGGTGGGCATATCCTCCCCCCCCCCCCCCCCCGCTAAGCGCCACTGACGCAGGCCGACAGGAGAGGCCCGGCAGGAGCAGCTCTCCCCGCCCACAGCCCCCGTTTGGTGCTGTCGAACCAACTGGAAAATTAACCAAACAAGGCCCGTGGCCCTGGCCACGCCTAAGGAGGTCGCAGCAGTGACAGTGACGGGTCCTAGTGTGGCCCTCGGGACACACAAGGCCGTCCCACAGACCCTAACGTGCCTGAGCCAGTGCAGGAACCACCAGGCAGGCAGTCCGGCCGCTGTGCGCACCGGGGAGGCCGTGCAAGGAGCTGTGCCCCTCCCTCCCTCTAAACGCTGCTCACTGCGGGTGGCACACCGCGCGGCGGCCCCCTCACACTCCTCCTGCGCTCGGCCAGGCCGCACACCGAGCCCCGGCCCGGAGCGGCCGGCTGCGCGCTAGTGAGCGGGGCCCATCCCAAAGGCCGAGGGACCCGGGCCTGACAATGCCGGCCTGACTGCAGGCGCGCGGACCGTCCCCGCCGCCCGGTGCTCACGTCGGCGCTGGGCCAGAGCTCCTTGATGACGCTCTCGATCCGGTTCACCACCTCCATCCGCATCTTCTCCTCCTCCGGCCGCGGCGACATGTACTCGTAGAAGTCACTGATCTCCTCGTGCAGGCTGCAAGGGAGGGCGCAGGTCACGGCGGGCGGGCGGGCGGGCGGCCTCCCACAGCCTCTCGCTGCCTGAGCCTCCAGCTACCTTCACCCGACGCTGCCACTCCAGTGGGAACCCTCAAGTGATTCCACAAACACGGGGCCCGGGGCTCCGATGGCACGCTTACAGCCCTGCGGAGCCCGAGGTCGCCAGGGCTGACCCGGGACATGGAGGGACCCAAGCCGCTGGACGCTCGGGCCGGCACGGCAGCCCGACTCTCATGGGGTGCTGCTCACCTCGGGCTCCCCCTAGGGACGCGCAGACGGCGTGTGGCAGTGCCAGGAGTTTCTGGGAGAGCACACTCCCTCTGCTAGCACCTCCTCCGGGGGGGCTGAGGTCGGGGTGCGGCCTGGCCGCTCTGCTCAGACACAGCCAGCCCCACCGTGCGGGACAGCACCGGCCCCGAGCGAGCCCCGTGAGTCTGAGTGACACCTTCAGAGGCCCAGGAAACTGGCACGCACGTACACGTGAGCACACACACACACACACGCACACACACACACGCCACAAACATGTGCGTACATACACATGCGCACGTGCGTACACACAAATTGTGTTTTCATTTCAGTATCACCCCGAAAACACGCAGAGACCCGCCCGGGACCCCCAGGCCCCTCTGGGGTTCCCGGCCCGCGTGCCTGCTCCCGCCACGCCACCCCCAAACAGGACCGGGATGGGCGGGCACTAACGGTCAAGAGCAGGGTCAGCCCTGCAGATACACAACGCACACATGCCCAGAGGCGGCCCTGTGGTTCCCCGAATCCCGGAGTGGGAGAACGGGGGCACGCGCAGAGCGAGAGGGGCACCGGGCATGCTCACGGCCTCACACGCAGCCTGTGGCTGGAGGGGCCACCCGTCCCGACAGCCGTCTCACCGCATCGGCGTTGAACTTGTCCGTCCGTCCGTCCGTCCGTCCGTCCGTTTTGTGTGTCTGAAGATAAGGGTGCCGTACCTGATGCTGTCATTCGTGGTGCCGAGCGCAGCCGGCGGAAGGCCGTCTGCGGCCAGTGGGGCCGGGAGCTGGACATCCACACGCAGGGCAATGACCGGGACCCCTACCTCACACCACAGAGCTCCAGTGGGGGACCAGCCACCTGGCCTGGCCGACGGAAACCAGAAACTTCCAGAAAGAACCTGGCGTTTGGCGGCGCTGGACGGAATGCCAAAAGCACAGGAGACAGCAACAGAGAGGACAGCTGGGACTTCCCAGCTGAGAACCCCCCGCGCCAAAGGCCTCCGCCGGTAACGTAAGGAGGAAGCCAGCCGAGCGGGAGGAATGTGCGCAGGCCGTGTGTCTGGCGGAGGACTGCTGTCCAAGGTACCTGAGGATCCTGCAATTCCACAACGAGAACACGCAAACACGGGCAAGAGACTCGAATGGCATTTGTCCAAAGAAGATACAGATACTCAATCTGCACAAGAAAACACTCAACCTCATCAGTCATCAGAGAAATACAAATCAAAACCAGGAGGTGCCATCTCAACCCATTAGCATGGCTACTATTAAAAAAAAGCAAGTGCCCTTGCCGGGACCGGTTTGGCTCAATGGATAGAGCATCGGCTTGGGGACTGAAGGGTCCCGGGTTCGATTCTGGTCAAGGGCATGTACCTTGGTTGCGGGCATATCCCCAGTAGGGGGTGTGCAAGAGGCAGCTGATCGATGACTCTCTCTCATCGATGTTTCTAACTCTATCTCTCTCCCTTCCTCTCTGTACAAAATCAATAAAATATATTTAAAAAAAATAAAATAAAATAAAATAAAAAAATAAAAAATAAAAAAAAGCAAGTGCCCTAACCTGTTTGGCTCAGTGGCTGGAGCCCGGAGTGTCCGCGGCTGCCTCTGCAGGCGCCCAGGAATTGAAAACCATTCTGTGGAGCCGGCCTCCAAGCTCCTTCCATCCCCTCCCCAACCACGGAGCCCAGCAGACACAGACCCCGTGATCACGCTGTGCAGCTGGGCAGACAGAGGCCCTGTGGCCGGCGCTGAGGAACAGCGTCAGCACCTTGGACTGTGGCGGAGGGCATGGACCCCGGAAAGACATTGCCCCCTGCACAGCCCCCAAATCCCCACTCCTGCTGGACAGCTCCACCTCAACATCACTCTTTAGCTCCAAACCTACAGCAATCATACGGCCCTAACAGGTTTGGCTCAGCGAAAGGTCCCGGGTTCGATTCCGGTCAAGGGCATGTACCTTGGTTGCGGGCACATCCCCAGTTGGGGGTGTGCAGGAGGCAGCTGATGGATGTTCCTAACTCTCTCTCTCTCCATTCCTCTCTGTAAAAAATCAATAAAATTTATTTTTGAAAATAAAAAGAATTAAATATTTCCCCAGTCACTCAAGGTCAAGACTAGCTGATTATTAAGTCCACGGTGGGTCCAATCCTCTCCATCCTCCCCTTTTACCTCACATTTATTTGGTCTTCCTCCCATTCCCATCCATTCCCGTTGGAGAGATTATGCCTTAAACCGAGGTTTCCCACGGGGCCTTCCTGCTGTCCCATGGTTGCACGTGCACTCCAAAACACGATGCTCTAGTCATCCAGCCCTTGGAAAAAATCTCTCTGGTCCTGGCAGTGTGGCCAACTCAAACTTTTTCTTTTTATTGATTTTTTTTTTAAATATATATTTTATTGATTTTTTCACAGAGAGGAAGAGAGAGGGATAGAGAGAAACATCGATGAGAGAGAATCATCGACCAGCTGCCTCCTGCACACCCCCCACTGGGGATGTGCCCGCAACCAAGGTACATGCCCTTGACCGGAATCGAACCCGGGACCTTTCAGTCTGCAGGCCGACGCTCTATCCACTGAGCCAAACCGGTCCCGGCTGATTTATTTTATTTTTATTGATGATCTTAGAGAGGAAGGGAGAGGGAGAAACTGAAACATCAATGATGAGAGGGAATCACGGATCGGCTGCCTCCTGCACAGACCCTTCCGGGAATAGAGTCCGCAGCCCGGGCCTGTGCCCTGACGGGGAAATGAGCCCTGACCTCCTGGTTCACAGGTGGGCGCTAAGCCTGAGCCAGGCCTTTTCCGACCAATGGGCCTGGACGAGCATCAGACGCCTGACCCAGGGCGTTCTGGACCCGAGGGCTCGGCCCAACGACTCTGACTCCGTATGTCTCCTGGATTTGCTACTTCTGTCCTCCCTTCCTTCTCTGGTGACCGACAACTAAGTCTCTGAAAAGGAAAGGGCTCGAGGCTCACTGTCACGGACAACCGGAAGGAGCAGGTGGGCTGCTTCCCACACCACACGAACCTGGGCAGGACACGAACCCACAGGAGGAAAACAAGTGGAAGTAACTTCACGACGAAGACAAGGCGCC